AGTCGCGGTGCATGGGGAAACGTACCCCCACTAATACTGAATAACTGAATGACGAAACTAACAGGTGCTTCTTGCTGTTCTTGCAAACGTACTTACGGAAATATATGCGACATGTGTATCTTCTACTTAAAGAAGTTACAAATAAATTGAACAGTACGAGTATTTGCTTGTTCAGAAGAACGGGAAAATTCGAAGCTATATTTTTGTACTGAGTTTTAGGTGATGAGTGAATATGTAAGGCGTCTATTCATCTTAATTAGCTTCTTTCTATATTGCGTGGGCAAAAATTCACAAACCACGCAGTTGATATACACTGTATGTTGATCATTTAAACACAACACTTTCCTTTTCTGACTAGTTAGTTAGTTAGTTAGTTAGTTAGTTAGGTATTTAGAGAGGGTGGGTTTCCCCATGCACCGCGACCAGTTGATCTATTGTGCTTCCCTCTATGATATTCTACCAGTCTCTTTACCCTACCGATAAATGGTGCGTACCATCAGTCCCGCCGAGCAAGCGAGTTCGGTCACTTGCTTAGCGGTGTCTATAATGCTTCCCCCATCTATCAGAGGCCTTAGAGACTATTGTTGGGCAGGAAACGTCCTGGAATTTGGCTCAATGATCCCCTTTGGGGATATGAGGTTCTTTTACGTGTCGTAAAGTTACGACACGGGACACACAGCTTAAAGTCCCTCCCGGAGGACTTGTTCCCTGAATTTTTCCGCCCTTAAAAATTCGACGACCTCCGCCGGGTATTTGAACCCGCGTTCCACGAGTCATGAGGTGGGAACGTTACCTCTAGAGTACGGAGGCCGCTTATTCCTTTTCTGACTAAATATTATGTAAAAAATGTACCTTTTTTCGTCATAAAATTTGCAGGCGGTTTTGAATTTTCAAATTTTTGTGTAAGACGGCTATTACCGTTGCATATATTGGAAGGGAATAAACATTTACACTGTTGTCGATGTTTCATTAAGAGAAGAAAATGTCTCTGTTCCCAAGCCCCATACCATATACGCATATACATGGTATGGTGCGTGGCGGTAAATCTGATCGCAGTTTAGAATTCAGGCCGAAATGTAGGTGAACGGTCAGTTTTGTTCTCCGGCCGTATTGTCCCTCGGGAAGGCGCACCCCCATCCGTTGTACTGGCTGGGTAGCCCGCGAAACCGGGCAGGACGTGACGGCCAAGGGAAATTTCTACCCTAGCCGGTAAATGAAATCGGTAACTGAGATCGTAGTCCTTCAGTTTACTGTTCTTTGTGGCAGAGAAGTGTGAACTAGTTACAAGTTTCACCGAAAAAGCAGCACAGTTCTCCAGCCATGTTTTCTGGATTATCACTACAGGATTACACTTGAAGCAGATCCTAAGCGAAGGGAGACCGTGTTTACGTAATACTGGGTTAGAAGATAACAGCGCTATCTTTTCAGAGCTGCTGTATACCGAATGGTTTCCATTATGATTTAGTCAACTTTCCTCACCAATAGCAGGGCTTGGTTGAGTGGGGGGATCGCCTCTGGCCAGGAGAGAGATGGTGCACAATGTAGGCCCCCCCCTCCCACGCTCCAGAAAAGAACAAAATCCAGTTACATCCAGCGCTTTCCTGCACATGTAGATCAACGGCTACTCAAAGTTTTAAGGCTATCCGGCTTAAAAAGTTGTAAGCCGACGTAGCGTGGGTATACTTTAAAAATTTAAGTACATGCTTTGCTTTCTTTGTGTTTTTGTGTGACAGAATATTCTGTATATATATAATTTTATTTCCGGATTTATTTAAAAATATTTTATCAGCTACTTAGATTATGTTTGACCACATATTTTGACGCATTTTTTCTCTAAGCTCCTCTCAGATATTGCCCTTCCTATGCAGGTAGGACTACGGCTAATTCTGTTAAGTTCATCCAGAACAGGTACTCAAATTCGTTAAAATTCACTGACTGGAAATAACGTTGACCCAGTACTGTTGTTTATTAAGTAAAGTAAAAGTAAGGCTGTCCCTGTACCAGGCCGTGAAGGCTCATAGGGTTGTGAGACGTTGAGGGTCCCACATTATCTAGACAATAGGCTCAAAGATGGCGATAAGGTTGTCAGCCTTACGTGCTGGCCGCGCTTTACTCCCCAGGAAAATTATGTCATTAATTCCTGGTACTCATTTCTGTTAGAGGCTGAGTCGACCCCAGGGCCATAGTGCTGCTGGAAGGATTAGGGTCAATTGAAAAGAATCCAATGACCTCATCGGGACTTGAACCCGCGACCTTCCGGCTTGTAGCATAGTGCCTCAACCACTACGCTTTCATATTATTCGAAACTTGTAAACATGTCAGATTCAAAAGTTCTGTGTTCTGTGATGTAATGCCATGTATTTTGGTAATTTTCATCGAAATCTGGGAGGATTGTACAGATTCAATCTTCAGGATCTGTTACAAAACAATAAAACAGTATCAAAGTAAATGGCCATGAATGTCCAGGGTATCTCAGTCAGAGTAGTGACTGGCTTTGGACTGAAGGACCTGTGTTCGATTTTGGCGGAGGCAGATATGTCTCCTCCCCACCACATCCAGACGGTTTCTCGGGCCCACTCGGCTTCCAGCTCAGTGGACATCTTGGGCTCTGCCTCTGAGTTTAAAGCGGACGGAGTGTAAAGCTGGCCATTCGCCTCCGATAAGAATGCCTATTGCTGTAGGCCTGCTTCCACTTCTACATTAGTCTTAGCGAATGGAGCTCAATTTAACATAAGGGCACATTCAGGAAGTTAACTGAACATGAATATATTGAAGGGAATCTGAGAAAACGCATTTGTAAAATAATTGTATTGCAAACGGAAAGCTTCCCAACACACGCAACTCCAAAATCGAAGAATGTTAATTTAATCACACATAACTTTCGAAACTGAAGTGCGTTGTTGACACTTCAGTGTGGAAATTTTGCAACGCTGTATAGTCGGAGTTATTGACAGCATCGTTAAATAAATCACAAATAAATAAATTAGTAAATATAAAAAAAAAACTTAGTTTCATTTTATCTGATTATCTTTTCAATGTTTTTATAATGACGTGGAACTAATGATCTTGTTCATTTACTGTACATACTTCTCCAGTAATTAAGATATATTACAGTAATTTAATTGCGTACGTAATTGACATGGCTCAAATGTGTCATAATTGTTATTCTGTTTATTGGCTTTGCAATAAAATACTACAAACAGTACATTCAGTTGCTTCTAACATGGTCTGTAGTTAGCTGAAAATATTCTGACGTTTTTCATGCCATGTAATGGGGAAAGGAATTCGCATTGATATCTCTCTCAATTGTCATTTGCTTCGGCTTTGTATTCGGGAGGCTTCGGGTTCAAATCTGGACCCGGAGACCTGCTCTCCTCTAAGCGGAGATAATGCAGCACCTCAGATTGGACCGAACTAGTTTCGTTCCACAGCTTTCCAATTCATTACTCACTAATCTTTTACCTTTCGGTGCTGTACAGTCTAAGTGAGTGAGCATCGTTAAATAAGCCTCGCAGAAATCAACAAATACATTTCTTTTTTTTTAAATCCCTGTAAATCGGAAACGATGAGAGAACATTTGCGAGTCGCGCCTTTGTGGTGTAGTGGTTAGAGTTCCTGGCTACAGATCCAGAGGTCCGGTTTCGATTCCCGGCGTTACCATTTTTTTCTGTTTTCTGAGAAGTATTGGGTCTGGAACGGGGTCCTCTCAGCCTCGTAATGATAATTGAGGAAGTATTTCAAGGAAATACCGGCTCCGGTCTAGAAAACCGAAATTAACGGCCGTGGGGATTCGTTGCGCTGACCACGCAACATCCTCTGTCCGCTAAAGTTGGCACTAACTGCGCCGACAAGCGGCGGTCGCTCGGTCGGTATAGTTCGTGTGCGGACTAAAACGACGGAGTTTGTTTTGTTTTTTGTTTTGTTGATATGAATCTCGCCTATTTACACGGTAGATTAATGAAGAGCCTAATTGTCTGCTGGGTGCAATCAGGAGCGGAACGTTTTACATCGCCTCTTTTTGTTGTTTTTTGTTAAATTAAAGGAATTTCTGCTGCTGTTTTGTTCCTATTATTACCATTCATTAGCCATCTGAACGGTGTAAATGTAACTCTTTAAGAATTATGACACCCATGAAGGCTGTCTTCACAGTATCTCAGAATTTTGTGTTATTATCCGCGAAAAATATTTAAGATATCCGATGTGTTTTCAACCGGGAAGGGGTAGAAATTCTGGTCTAATTGGTAAGGTGAGTTCTCCTGGTGCTTAACTAATTAAGCCCTACGCCATGAAGACGTAGGGGGGAGCGAATGTATAGATCCATATTTTCTTGACCTCGGTACTAGCTGGAGGTGATTGCTCAGTTTCTCGTCCTGGTCGCTTTATTTCCGGTGAGAGAACTGCCGGTACCCATTGGATAGGAGGTTGGGTGGACTCCAGAGCCGGTCTGGACGACCGTAGGCGACATGGAGAAATGAAAATTCTTACCCACACCGAGACTTGAACTCCGAACCCTTTGACTTCCTGCCCGTAGCCAGTCGCTTTACGAACTGAGCTATCCTGGCTCTTGAAGTATATTTGGACGACGCGTAATTTTGCACCGACCCAGGGAGTTCAGTAATAGCGGCATTTGCAAATTACAGTATATAAAAATTACGTTGATTCAGTCAAAGAATCGTGTTATTTGGAGCGACAGTGTTTTTGTATCCGGTTCTTTGTGGGGCATCTGTACCTGCAGCATCCGCCCCCACCTTCGCAAATCAATTTACGGGAGCTGAGCGCACACACTGACCCACAAGGGAGGGCGGTCGGATGGCCTGCTCGGGCTTGTTATTATATGTGTAGTACGTGATGAAGTTGCTTCCAGAGCCCCGTTCACACCCACACGGCAGGCCTTCCCAAAACAATAGCAGTGTTCGGGACATCTCCATACCTACAAGGCTTCCTTCCGATAGCTTGTAGCATAAGAACTGTTGTAAAATGCAGAATTTTTCTTGTTCCAGACTGCGGCGTTGAGGTGTGCCCTGATAGTGGTCTGCCTGTTCGCCGTAGTGGCGCTTTCGGGACCTCAGGACGAACGAAGACCCAAAATCTCTGACGAGGCCCTAGAGAGGGCCCTGAACGATAAGCGATATCTTCAACGGCAACTAAAATGTGCTCTGGGGGAGGCGTCGTGTGACCCTGTAGGCCGAAGGCTTAAAAGTGAGTATGCATTTGCAGCTATCCCATAATCTGTTTCGAAACACGAAATCCAAACCGGTAGCCCATGAAGTAATCATCAGATATTAAATGGAAGTGAATAGTATTTTCCCCCCATGAAATGCACATATCATTTACCTTTTATGCTGTATGTACCAGACAATATCACGGGCTGATATTTGTTACATAAAATTCATAACATATCAGTAATTATGAAGTGATGTTTTCCTATTTTTTTATTATTCTTAGTGGGGTGAGGATGAATCGACTTGGTACTGCAGCTACTATTGGCCTATTGTACCAGCCCCAAATGATAGGTGATGGTGATTGTGGAGCAATTGGTGGAATGAAGATTGGCAGGGGAAACCAAAGTACTCAGAGAAAACCTACCCCAGTGCCACTTTGTCCATCACAAATCCCACTTGACCTGACCCGGGCTCGAACCCGCGCCGTCGTGGTGGGAAGCCAGTGACTAACCACCTGAGCCATGTCACGACCATGAAGTGATGTTAATTACATCAGTAGGTTGCTCATTAAAATTTCTGAATAAGATATTTAACGTGTACCCTCTTCGTTCACCAAACATTACGTTCCTTGACTTAAGATTTTGATATAATTTTTCCGAATGTAGCAGTGTAATATGAAATAATATGTGCGTTAAGTATGCCTCGAGTATTACTGAATATAAAATTTAGTATGAGAAAGGAGAAATGAATAGGTATTTGGTTGGGAAATCTCAGGTAAGAGGAAGTTAGTAAACTTACCCAAAGGTGATGAGAAGATAACATTGGAATATACCCTAATGAACATATTTCCTGGATGTGAAATGGAATTATGTACCTCAGAACAGGTTTAATGGTGGGCTGTGATAAATTTCGGGTTTTGGAAACAGGATAGAACTGCAATTGTTCTGCATTGACTGATGTGGCAGAATTGTTATATTTAATTAATTTGAAGGATTGGGAAGGAAGTAACCATGCATGTTTGCTTGGATAGACTGAGTAAAACAAAAACTTCAGGCAAGATAGTTGATATTTCAGCCATCATTACCACTTGCTCAATATAAGAGACAATGTCTTGACAGACTGAATAACAATCGGCTGCTCAAGGAGTTGGTTTTTCCATAACACTGCAAAGTAAGACTGAAAGTAAGTAAAAAGTAAAGCTCTCCCCTTACCAGGCCGTGAAGGCCCATAGGGTTGTAAAACGTTAAGGGTCTCACATTACCTTGACAATCAGCTCAGAGATGGCGGTAAGGTTGTCAGCCTTACGAGCCGGCCGCGCTTCACTCCCCATGAAAATCATTTAATTAATTCCTGGTACTGATTTCTGTTAGAGGCTGAGTAAACCCCAGGGCCTGGTGCGGCCGGAAGGATTAGGTCAATTGAAAAAAATCCAATGACCTCATCGGGACTTGAACCTGTGACCTTCCGGCTTGTACGCTACCGCGTACCCCCAAAGTAAGACTGAATAATTACATAACACATTAATTCCTATGGCACCAGGGGTTAAACATGAACTGAACTGTATGTCATATGAAAACCAGTTAGTGTGTGTTAACCCCACGGTTGCTTTCAAGTTTCTGGTGCAGCATTGCTCTGACATAACATATAGAGTATTCTGTTTCATTTTCACAGCTCTCGCTCCACTCGTCTTGAGAGGGTCTTGCCCTCAGTGCACACCTGATGAGATGCGTCAGATCCAGAGGACCCTATCGCACATCCAGCGGAACTACCCTAAGGAGTGGAACAAGATTGTCAAACAATATGCTGGCGTCTAGAAAGAGAAATTGAATGAATGTTAAGAAGGGGATTGTGAAAAATGGTGAACTCCTTTTCCTGATGGTTGGTGTAAATCTAAAGAAATGGCCAATGAGAAACTTTTTGAGAAGCTTGGTTTCCCAAGTTCTAGTTCATTTCTATTCTTGCTGAAATTATCAACATGATAGAATTAATTGTAATTAAAATAAAATATGAAAATTCTAAGCTGTTGCAGTTCATATGGCCATCATTCATTGTGGATTTGAAATGTTCAGAACATTTAACTTTATTTCATATCTAACAAATCGTTGGTTAGAATTTTTAAACTTTCTTTGTATGAATTGAAAGAATACATGGATCGTTAATATGTTGTTGGTGTCACTTGTATGACTGACTCCTACATGAATTTTGGGGGGAGTTTCTCTGCATCTCCAACAAAGAGATGTGTCCCAGAACAACCCTACCATAACCCTTGATTTATCGAGAAACACTCAGGACTATAGATGCTGGGTTATCCTCACTGTATAGTGCCCTGCTTAATCCAGCCATAAAACTGTCGCGATTGGTACTGCTGTTGTATTTTGCTGCCAGATGGAATGTGACTTGTTCAAGTTGATATACATTTACACGCCAACAGCCAGTGTACAACCATCCATAAAATAAGACCTGTTTCCTGAATATTTTTGTGACTTTGTTTTGGCAAGGTTTAGCCTGTTCAAGGAGTGACCTTGTCAGTGAGAATTCAGTGGAAGTGCCTTTTGCTTAAATCTAAACTTTCGTTTCGCTTTTAAAACATTTTCTAATTCAACTGCTAGGGAAGATGATAATTTGGTAATGTCTGCTTAGTCAACTGCCCTTCCATGCTATGCAGCTATATTAATTTACAATAAACAGAAATTTCTAAAAAGCGTTTCTTTTTAAACTTGAGTTAATAGATGTGTTCAACCCTACTGACTCAGAATCACTAACATCCACTCATTTAGATGGATTTATATTTCATCCATATGGAATGAATTTAATATAATTGTGGCCTCATCAATCTTGTTGAATGCTGAAATACTGTTTAACATACAAGGATATTCAATGGCAAACTGTGCAGTTGAAGTATAAGCCCACTCCAAGTCACGAAGAATACTACAGCAAATTAGCTTATAGAATCAAACGTAATTCTGATTGCTAATATTATGTAAGTAAAAAAAAAGAAAAGGAGATCCACTGCAATGGACAGAGATGCTTGGAGGCTGCTGGCGCAGGAGGCCAAGGCCCAGAAAGGGTTGTAGAGCCAATTGGTAGGTGGTAGGTAGTACAGTTCAAGTATTACGTGAGTGCATTGATATTTAAACTTAATTTTATTGAGGATGCATATGCCTCATTTCATTGCTTAAATGTTTAAGTAATATTTCACTTGAAGAGTTCCGCCTACTTGCATATAATAATGTGTAGTCCGGTGAAAGTCAGGTGACTTTTCAGGGGATCTTACCCCAACAGTCTTCAGAATGAAAGAGGAAGCCACGTAAGAAACTAACATGAAGCAAAGAGCAAGCTTGCTTGCTGCTTCATTTTGCATTGCTTGCTTTTATTTCTGCAGAAATCTGGAACTGTTTTGTTTATATATTAGTGTTTGGTAATGTGAGTCATGGGGTGGGAACGTTACTTGGTAATGTGTAACTCATTTTCTGTGGTGGATAATGGTCTGATTATCCTTTTGGTGCTTCTGTAGTCGTTATTAATTGACGGTCTTTCTTCCATGTCTGTGTTGACATTTCTCTCATGTCTGCTGCATGTTGTAAAAATCCATTTTTCTGTGTGCAAGTAGTCAGTATCGAATCCACTCTTCTCTATTGTGTTCTCTTACACAGAAATATTACGAATAATGGATGTGTAGTAATTTTTCAGTGTTACCAACTCTCCAGTACATTATGTCATTTTGTTTTTTTTTTTTGTTAAAATATCAGACAAAGCATAATTGTCTAGTGTTATTTTGCTTTCTGAGAAGTATTGTAGTAGTTCATTGGGAAGTTAATTCTCTGCTATAAACACATTGGTCTCTTTGTAACCACTGACATAATGATGTCACAGCAATTGAAGGCAACCTGTACTTGAGGTTGAACAATTGCACGCAGATACCTTGCTGACACCATCACCAATCTGCAACACATAGCTTGGTTCAATTTATCATGCAGTGGATCAGAATGTATTTCATGGTGGATCTATTGACAATTCTAGCTGCTAATACATCGAATGTTCTATTTCATGTACTGCCCTTCTTTTTAATTTGAAGTGATCGTGATTATTGATTTGATGCACTACCCTTGCTGTAGTAATGAGTATAACCTACAAATCTCCCGATAAAGCTGGCCCCAGCGGTTAATTACGAAACATGACATGGTCTGTAAACCCCATGGCTTTCTTTGACGCCCATTCACTGACCGGGCAGATTGGCACAGGGATAACTCCGTAAACTAGCATTAGGTAGGTACCCGGTTTGAATCCAGGCCAGCTTACCAGATATCCTCACCGAGGTATTATACTAGTTTTATGAAACTTGAAAGTTTATTACTGTGCTCACAAGAGTCGTCCGGTGGACTCTATCCCGAGTCACATGACTCTAATACACGTTCTATTGCCCTATGCCTTAAGATCCATATTAATATTATCCTTTAGCGGCCTCCGTAGTCTAGAGGTAACGTTCCCACCTCATGACTCGTAGTACGCGGGTTCAAATACCCGGCGGAGGTCGTCGAATTTTAAGTGCGGACAAATTCAGGGAACAAGTCCTCTGGGAGGGACTTTAAGCCCTGAGTCCCGTGTCGTAGCTTTACGGCACGTAAAAGAACCTCATATCTCCAAAGGAGGTCACTGAGCCAAATTACGGACGTTTCCCGCCCAGCAGCAGTCTCTAGTACCTCTGGTAGCTGGGGGAAGCATTATAGATACCTCTCAGCTAGTAGAGCCGGTCTCGCTGGCTGGGCGGGACTGATGGTAAGCACCAGTACCGGTAGGATATAGAGACTGGTAGAAATCATAGAGGGAAGCACAATGGACCAATACAGGTAAAAGTGCATGGGGAAACCCACCCTCTCCAATAACTAATTAACTGATATTATCCTTTCGTCTTTGCCTCCAGCATCCAAGCGGTCTGTTTCCGTTGGGATTTCTCGTTACAGATATCTACGTGTTTCTCATTTATTTCATGCGTGCTGCATGCCCTACCGATATCATTCTCTTAGATTTATTTACATCAGTATATGTTGAGGAGTACAAATTATGGAGCTCCTCATTACGCAGTTTTCTCTATTTTTGTGTTACTTCTTTTCTCTTAAGTTCAAATATCCATGCCATAGCACAAGCAGTTCCCAGTCTGATTCCAGGAGAGTCCATGTAGTGTTTCTGGGGAGAAAAGTGGATCGGAGGCAGAAGGAAAACCTCAAATCTTACATACGAGGGTTGGAACTTTAATAGTGGCAACACTGCTGTAGAGACGCCATGCAACGGAACCAAATAATGTCGCTTATACCACACGTTAGTTACATACCTACCTTACCTCAGAGCAAATGGACTGTCCCTTCCCACATGACGAGAAGAACAGAGCCTCGTGTTAGCTGGCGGTCTAATGTAGTGTTGTCACGATGTTTTCGAAACAGGAACAACGGAGTTGGATAAAGATTGAATGTGCCAGAGGCCGTACAGCACGACAGTGTCATCAAGGTCTTCAAGAGGCTTGCGGGGAATCTGCATTGCCTTACAGAAGAGTGGCAAAGTGGAACCACCACGAAAATCAAAAGTTCGTCAGAACCCCAGCAATGTGTAAGTTATGGTGATTTTCGTGTACGACTGTGATGGTGTTATCCTAACGCATACCGTTCCCCGACAGCAGACCGTCAGTGCGCAGTATTACTGTTCATTTTTGGAACACAACCTGCGACCAGCTTTGAGAAAGAAGCGGCGACACTTTCTGCAGAACCCACCCATCATTTTGCAGGACAATGCTCGTCCGCATGCAGCGCAAGCTGTGGCTGATTTGTTCGGTCTATGGGGCTTGGAAGTGCTGTACCATCCACCATACTCCCCGGACTTAAGCCCTTGTGACTTCGACTTGATTCCTAAGATGAAGGAACCACTTCGTGGCATTCACTTCAGAACTGTTCCAGAGATTCTTCAGGCAGTAGACCGCTCCATTTGAACTATCAACACAACAGGCGCTGCTAAAGGTATCCTACGGCTTCCACATTGCTGTCAACGGGTTATACACGATCCTGGTGACTACATTGAAGGACAGTAAAACTTTGAAACATGCATCTATTTTGTATCAGTTGTAAATAAAGAGTTGCCACTATTAAAGTTCCAACCCTCATACGTTCCACCTATTGTTTCGGTTTTCAGCTACCAATTATCGTTTCGCCAATTTTCGGTACTCGTCTACTTAGGCCCGTCTGAGACCTAAGTACCAAAGGATTTCGTCTCATCCTATTGCCCTCCACCTTTGCGAGAAAATCAATATGCTAGCTAGCTCTGAATATTCCCATAACCCTCAAACTTCCCCAATCCCGTATATGTTGCTCTACCTTTATTCGCGATTCAGGGCAGCGCCATAGCTCAGGCGGTTAGTCACTGGCTTCCCACCGCGGCGGCCCGGGTTCCATACTGGGTCTGGTCAAGTGTGATTTGTGGTGGCCAAAGTGGCGCTGGGGCAGGTTTTCTCCGAGTACTTCGGTTTCCCCTGCCAATCTTCATTCCACCAGTTGCTCCACAATCACCCTCACCTATCATCTGGGGCTGGTACAATAGGCCAGAAGTGGCCGCAGTGCAAGGGACTTAGTCCCACCCCACTAGCAATAAAAAAATATTCGCGATTCGTTAAGTAAGACAATTGCATGTGTAAATAACTTATGCCCTTTCTATGCCCTGATTTTCAGCAGAAAGTAATTCGTTTTATATTGCCATAAATCCCATAATTTAGTTTTGCCGGATGGTAGAGATGGCTTAAAGAGTCGGAAATCAACAGGAGCTGGTTTAATGAATCAGTAAATGACAGGGCCTGTTTCATTACTCACCACCAGCCTCCGTCTTTCTACGTTGGTGCACCTTGGAACCGTGAAGCCACTTCCCATATCAGAGGTGAAGTGAACAAGCAACGTGTCAGATGTTAAACAGAAAACCCACTCGTGTATGTGAAACGCGAGTGCAGTAGCGAACCTCCTGGTGCAAAGATCAGTTGATCAGAGCCCCTTTCCCTGGCCCCTTTCATTCACAAGATTTAGGAGTGATGCAGCTGTCATAGTTAAGATGGGTCATCATCCTCCTTATGTCAGGACAGTTCGTAACAAATTTGTTAAGCTGGATAATGCGCTGGGGAAAATGCCTGAT